TAGTCAAGTAAAACTCTTTAGTATAGTGGTACGTCTGTGCATTCGTAAGAGTGATCGCTTGCCCTGTGCACATTCGTACTGTGGAGGAAGCAAAAGCAACGAGTCTACAAATGGCCGCCGCAAGGGTCCGACGGCTGCCCGCCGTGATTTTATGACTTCCGTCGCGCTGCACCAAATGATATAATTCCCTTCACATTCAACCTCGTTGCAATCCTTTAATGCTCTCAAATGATTCCTACTTGAAACACAACCCTTGATGATATCTTTCAATTTTAATGGTATGTAGTAGGAGTAGCGTTGGTGAGTTGAGAAAATATCGTGTGGTGAGTGTATGGTTGATCGATGAGGCGAAAGGGTCGCGTCACCGCTGCATCGCCGAGCGATCTTTAGTATCGATAACCATCGTCGATGTATCGATTAATCGTCCCCGCGCTTGTGCAACCCGCTAATGACTCGTGACCAAAGATCGATTCCGATAATCAATCAGGGCAGACGTTGGTCAATAACTTAGTTTCGAAATTACCACCTTCAGAGTTTTTCCAGTCACCTATTTGGATGTCGTCGCTCTCACTGAATACGTAAATGGCTTCATCTCATTAATCTGCTGCGCGCGCCGCCGTGCGTTATCATTATAGTCGGGTTTTCTCTTAATTTGCGTACATTGATTCCACTTAAACACTATATTTGTAAATGATGATGAATTAATATTACCAACTCTTATTTCTTAACAGACAAAGTTGTATACTTTTGTTGTATGATGTGTTCTTTAAGAATACAGTATTTAATTACAAGCTACGTATGAATTTTTAATTAATGTTCTTTAAAAAATGTCACAGATTTTTTTTGGCTTTACTCATGACACAATGCATTAATTATTAAATAATCACAATGAACCTTAAATATATTAATATCTCCATATATTAGTATACATATAAGTATGTTCCAAAAGTTTGTATCGATAGACAAGTGTTTGTTTGCTCAAAATGGTCCAAATAAAAAATAGATTGAGTTGTATATGTTGTCGATGTCGATGGGAACGACCGCGGGCGGGGCCAAGGCCGCGCCATCGGTCACGGTGTGGCGCAATCAGAGTTGCGTCATCGCCTGCGATCGTCTCTTACCAACACGTGCTTCTTACGCATACCTTCCCAAATTCACAAAGCTTTCACCTTGTTTAATATTATAAGCTAACCCTTGGTTTCTGAAATCAAAATTTGTACGGAACAAATCGTCATTCCTGTCATTATCTTTGACAAAACAGAGATAACAACGTTTTATTTGAGGGGTTTTGGTATCAGAAACCCACAGTTAATCTATCAATACATTGAGCTTTAACTTTTATTGATTGTTACTTGAGTTGTGAGTTCCGAGAAAGGCACAAAGTAACACTTAGATAAACGGCAAGTAATAACTTATTTTCGTTTAAAATGTTAGAAAAAAGCATCTCTTTATCTGTATAATTTGCATATTATTCGTAATATGAATCATTGTGTTGATGAATGAGTGTGGTTAGTGGTCAGTCCACCCCTTCCTGCGCGATAATTGTGAAGAATGATCATTTCATGAGACGCGCCCCGACGCTCGCAAATTCATAAAGCGCTCGTAAATACTCATTGCGGCCGCAATTGCAACAGTATGCTGATTTAGGGAACCTTCAATTACATACCACATGCACAAAACGTTTTGAATTTGCATCGTCTGGTATATTGAATTACCAAAGGAAACTGGTCAATTTGTTCTCTGCTAATCTGTCTGTGGGGTAAAGTTTGGTTGCCTGTATAGTTAAATTAAAAAAAAATAACGAAACAAAGATGTAAAATTTCTCTTAAAGTCTTAACTCTCTGAACTCCTCCAGTTAGACGTATAAAATAAACCTTTGATGATTAGGAATTGCTATTTACATTCTAATTCTACGTAAAACCTTAATGAAGTTGATGACGTTGTCAGTTTGAATGCAAAATATTTGTAATTACGTGATATAGGAGTACTACAAAAGCGCCGCGTGATCTCGACTCATTGATGGAGAGGAAGCGGCTTTGGATTTGCGTACATCTCCATTTCAAACGACGCGTCCGGAACAAATCGTGAACGCTAATGCGATAGTAAATAAGAGAATTAGCGATTGAGCATCGTTTACTTAGAACTTATGGACATAGCTATGCTGCATGCTCTGATTTTTGTCCATTGTACGACGACACGTGTCTTTAATAAACCCCAAAAAAAGTCTCAGTCCATCCCTGAGAAAAAAAGGTTGAAAAAAAAAACTTTTTGAGCAGCTGTCGGGCAGGTGGTTGAATTTGGACGGTAACCTTGTACAGACATAAGGAGCAGGTGCGTAGCTTAAGCAGGGATTGGCTCACCTCGCAGATTGCACCTCGCTCGCCCTAATTGGACGGCCGGATGAACATGCCGGATGAACTCTCATTAAATCACCTTAAAATATTGTCAACTTTATTTATGTTGCAAGATGAATGATACCGTTGTCAAAGTAAATCATTTACATTCATATTTATGTGTCGTTACGAGATGTATAATGAAAATTTAACGTTTCCTATACATCATGTTGACTTCTTTATTTAACTTGATCGTCATTGATCCTTTTTCCTTTTCTCAGCTATGTATCGTATCATATAGAAATAGAGTAGGATATTATAAATGCGAATGTTTAGATGTATGGATGGTTGAATGCTTGTATGATTGAAGGAATCACCGGAACGGCTCAACGGATCTCGCTGAAATTTGGCAGAGATGTAGGACACAATCTGGAAGAACACGTAAACTTATTAAGTTTTTTTCCGTCGAAGAGTCGCGGGCGACTTCTAGTATTCTATAAAACAAATGATTTCTCCAGTTGCCAGGCGTTTTATATATGTCGCAGTATTAAGTGACTTAGTGTCTCATCACCTGCAATACGCTGACCTATTTACCTTCAACAAGTAGGGCACGATGTCAACGGCTATTGATCCACCCCTGCCTTGGCCCGCCATGCCCTCTATCGACCTTTCGCCGCCGACGCCCTTCGTACTAATTTGATACGATACTTCCTATTGAATTTGTTATATATTTATGTATGATATTAAATTAAAAATTAACTTCATCACATTGCGTTCTTTAAATTGTACTGCTGTAAATTCCTTTTTTAGTTTTGTGTTCTTGTCTTTAATTTAATATTCCAAGAATGTTATTAAAGTGACTCTTTACATTATGATATGGAACCGCACTTTATCTTTTGTAATAAAAATATATAAAATACCCGAACAAAACATTTGAGAATGTTTTTCAAGTGAATTTTATCAATACGTTCGGCAAACATCATAAAATTTACATGTCTAATGTATAATAATGAACACAATTAACCTCGAACCCAATTTAGCGTCGTAAATTGGTCCCGAAATACACCGCAGGAAGCGTTTCTTTAAACACGCGCCGTATGACTTTTGTATTTTAGAGTACATCTCGAATTTCAGTCTCGTTTCTCAGGAAAGTGCATCGAACCTGTATACTGCAACACTGCAGCTCGCAGCGGGTTACCTCCGCTAGTATTAATGTGAGTAGTCGGATAATAATTCCCCTCACGCGGTCGCCGAACAACACTTCGCCGACGGTGGTAATTTACCATGACGCTTTTTGCACTGCGGGACGCGAACACCACGCTCTATTTAAAAGTCAAATTTTGGGACGTAATGTTTTATGCATTTGAGTGACGTCATCAGTCTAAGATTACATATACATTGTCAAAAGACATCAGTTTCTATGAATATACTGTAACAAAGACTGTGTGACCTCTTGTTCGTTCATATTTGTTTGGTATTGTCACGTGTTTTTCTCAATTATTTATCGTTTATTCGGCACTTTTTGCGTGGGAAATAAAAAAAGGATTATATTACTTTTATTATCTTGTATATAATTAGCTGCAGAAACCTTTTAGTCTATTAGTATTTTCATACGTCTAGTTTTAAATCATAGCACAGACGATGACAGGCGTAGAGGGCGCCGGCGCGGCTCGGCGCCAGGATTTATCCGCTCACAACCCTGCACGCCGCTCGGAATGTTAACTACCCTGTCACACTAATCTCCTTAAATAACGCTCATCCTTATGAGATAGTTAACGCTACGAATAGATTAACATTTAACTATTAAAGCTAATTTAAACTCTCCATAGATACTCTTGAACGAAAGTTTGGTGTTCAAATTAATGTAATGTTGTGTTGGATGTTGGACGATTTAAGGAACCGACAAACATTTATATAGTAGTGTTTCGTAAAATTTTAGTCACATAGAAATTAAATTATTCAAACTTTTGTGAGACATTATAATAAACTGATATAAAAACGGCTAAACAGTCACGTGTATTCGTCCGGTGGCGGCACCGAATAGTTTCGAGCCCATCGGGGGCCCTTTATCAGGGTGAGCTGAGCGACGGGCCGAGTCCGCGAAATAATACCAGTACCACACCCTGATGAAGGGCCCCCGATGGGCACCAAACTAGTCGGTGCCGCCACCGGCCGAATACACGTGACCGTTTAGCCGTTTTTATATAAGTTTATTATAATACATAGAAATTCCTCTAGTTTTTGAAAAAGCTTGACTTTTGCATTTTTGTATAGGAACTTTCTTCTAGGATTCTATCAGAATTAAACTTTGGAATAGCTTATTTTAGAGGTACAAATATTAAGAAATTGTTCTTTAGTCCAGAGTCCTGAATGTCCCTGCAGTAGGACGTCAGTCGGACGCTTTTCCAACACATATCAGTCGAGCGACTAATTATCATGAGTGACGCCCTCTAGCGGCGCACAGTCTTTATGAAAGACATTTCGTTCCCCCACTGACAGCTTAATGAGATGGCCTAATCACAACTCTCTGCATATTAGTTGGCCTGTGGAAGTGCCGTTTGATAAATCAGACTTACTGTAAAACTGTCTACTATTTACAGTCTACGGCAGGGACAGTGAATCTTTATTTAACATCGTGTCATTGAATACTTTTGAGTTTATGTTATGATGACTGGAACATTCCGTACCGTAGGGTCACTTGTGTCATCCTATATAATACCTACTAGTCATAGTGCTTAATTTACACTTTTTTCTTAGTGTTAATTTTGTTATCAGTGACGTGTCAAAAATATTGTGTATCATTGGTTCGCCATCTCTGGTCTGCCGTAACAGTAATTTTAAAATCGCCACTGTATTGTATTTAACGTTTTTAACGTTCATTTTAATTAGATCATAATAATTTACTTCTCAGAGACATTGAGTGTGATTTAATTGAGGATACTATAAATGTAGATTCGCAATTAAAATATTATTGTGACACAGTTTAATTGCAGTCATAAAGCAACTAACATAATGGTCGTACCGTTAACTTAGATCTACTAATGGAATAGAATGTGCAAATTAATTTACATATTTATTATGTTTTATATCTAGAGATGTGTACATCATGTTCCTCTTACTCTATGCAATATCAATATGTTTGTTATTTTATTATAGAGGCAAGTTCGCGTCAGTGCGCAAGATTCGTCACCGCGTGACCGGGGAGGAGTTCGCGGCCAAGTTCATCCGCAAGCGTCGGCGCGCGGCGGACTCAACGCGAGAGATTCACCACGAGGTGGCCGTGCTCGCGCTCTGCGGCGGCTGCGACCGCGTCGTAAGGCTGCACGAGGTATGTTACTTGCGAGCTTTTGCATTTGTAAAGATACTAAAAGCAAGTGTAGCAAGTTTGAATTCTGAACCATATGCACGTGCTAATCTTATTGAATTATACAAGACTGCTTAAGTGAGTTAATTGAGCCTAAATATGTAAAAATAGTAAAATATTATGGAAGACCATAACATCATATTTAAATGTTGCTAATGTGGCGTTGCAGGTGTACGAGACACGATCGGAGGTAGCAATTGTGCTGTCGCTATGCGCGGGCGGTGAGCTGCAACACGTACTGGACGCAGCGGAACGGCTGGCGGAGGCAGGCGCGCGGCGGGCGCTGCGGCACGCCCTCGAAGGACTGGCGCATCTGCATGCACGCCGCGTCGCACACCTCGACCTCAAGCCGCAGAACCTGTTGCTCAGTGCCGGCAATGAGGATCTCGTTATCTGCGATTTCGGCATCAGTCGTGCAATACAGCCCGGCGCCCACGTGCGCGAGATACTCGGCACCAGGGACTACGTCGGTCAGTACACACATTCCCACCTGGTCACTGTCACACCAACATGACATGACATTTTAACCTTTTTACTGCTTACATACATATATTCCATATTCTTTACGTCATAGATATCTGCCTCGAATAACGTGCAAATAAATTAAAAGTTCTCACACTTTGTTACTTTCTCCTTTTAATTTTTAAAGCAGTTACGCGTAAATAATACAGTACATAAGTGTTCAATAACACGTGTGAGTGACGCGCGCCCGCCAGAGCTGCACGTTCTACTCTGAATAACATTTACATCACCGCTTCACTTTGCTATACTTCACCATTGTAAACTTACTTTTCCATAGAAATATGGTACACTGATGTTTGATGAATAATTCAAGACGTTATGTAATATATTTGTACGATATCTTCTATAGACGTAGAAACTTTTAATCGCCTTTTTTGTTTTCGTATGAAGTCTTCTTTTTTATATTTAATCTTTAAAATATAAAATTTCTTAAACGGCCTAATCTAAGGGTTTTGTATATCACGGGAACATGGCAGTGGTCTTTAGGTTTGTATTTATTTCCTGGATTTTTTGCATCTTAAAATACATAACCAAAGTAATAATAATATCGTAAATTACTACATTATGTATGATAAGTTCAGTAGTCAGTGTATATGTATTGTGTACATAGCGCCGGAGATCCTGTCGTACGAGCCGTTGTCGCTGGCAGCGGACGTGTGGTCTGTGGGAGTGCTGGCGTACGTGTTGCTGAGCGGGTACTCGCCCTTCGCCGGCGACACCAAGCAGGAGACGTACCTCAACATCGCGCAGTGCCAGCTCTCCTTCCCGCCGGAACTCTTCCGCGGCGTCTCGCACCGCGCCATACAATTCATAAGGGAGACTCTCGTCCTAGATCCTAAGTGAGGCTTGTCTACTTACTTCTGTATTTAAGTTATAAGAAAACTATAATTGCCACAATTTACTAAAATTTGAATTGTCCCGTGCACTTTGTAATCGTTTTTTTTTTCACCAATTCCATGGGTAACGAATTTAATGGTATATTTTCTGTCAACGTTTCCAGGGGTCGTCTTACAGTGGAAGAGTGCCTGGAGCACCCCTGGTTGAAAGACGAAGCCAGCCTTCCGCTCGCCATCGAGGGCGTCGGATATTCGGCGACGCTCGCCAGCGACGCGGAGTCCGATGATGACACACACAGTGTTAACGGCGTCAACGGCCACAACGGTGTCAATGGTGTCAACGGTGTTAATGGTATCAACGGCGTAAACAGTATAAACGGAGTAAACGGAATCAACGCAGTGAACGGTGTAAATGGAGTCAACGGAGTGACGAATGTCAACGGAGTCAACGGGATCAACGGCCACAACGTCACGAACGGATGCAACGGCACTAACGGCGTACACGACGACAAAGGTAACTTGCAGAATGCAGTTCTGATTGTCATTTCTCATTCAAATTAAATAATTTTAATAATTCTCTATGGATGATTGATAAATATAGCGGTGTGTAATATTGCAGAGGAGTCCGAGTGCGAGGAGCGAGACAAGCGGCAGAAGCATGCGCACGCGCGCGACATCTCCCCGCCCTTCCCTGACGCGCCCTCCACGCCCAAGGTACGACACGCCACGCCCACTTTTTTCTCCTCCTATAGAAATTTGCTTATTACCAATATTAAGGATTTTTATTTACTTTTATTATTTCTCTCTATCTCAGGTATCACGGAAATCGCGAGCGTCCCCGCCCTCGGTACTAGCGCTGTGCAAGAAGTTCCAGCCTGACTACGAGAAGCCGGCGACGCTGGCGCACGCGCACGCGCACACACACGAGCGCGCGGGCGGCGAGTGCGCGTGCGCGGGGGCGGGCTGCCTGCGTGTGCGCGCGCGTCCGCCGCCTGACCGCGCCGTGCTCTGCTAGCGTCGCCTCGCCGCGCTGCTCTGCTGCCGCGTCTGACTGACTCTGCGCTCCTGGTAGTGCGCCTCCAGATACACATCAACTCTCACCGCACTCGACATGTACACATCTGGACTTGGGTTTACATTCCTGGTGAATGTAACACAGAAGATAGGTGACCGACGTCACGTATAAGATGCTAAGTTATCACAAAGCGTAAAGTTCTCATCTTATATGGTCATGTTTAGAATTAGTAATTGGGTTAGCGAGATCTATAAATGTATACCTTACCTATCTAGGTATTCGTTTTATTTTCGTATGTGTAACAGCTGTTTTAAGGAAAAATGACATGTAGGATAACGGCCTCCTTGAATCAATGAAAGTAACCAAGTCCAGAGAGTGAAACGCGAGTTTGTCGGTGTTCGTGATGTGAGGGAGGCATGAGGTGGCAGCGGCAGTGTGTGTGCGGCGAGCAGTGCGCGTGTGTGCAGTGAGGGACTGCTCTAGTGACAAGTGCAAGACAAGACTAGTGACGTTGTGAAGTGAGCGCGCCCGGCTGCGAGCCGAGGCCGAGCAGCGGCTCGCCTTAGCGTTTACTCTGTATATATATTTTACGCGGTAGACTCCCGATTACGCGAACCTCAATGTGAAGTACCGCCGCTCGCCGCGCAAACGTATCGGATGTTATGCCCCGGAATATTGGGCAAGTTATTATACAATAATCTAAAGTATTTTGCGCTTAGAATCATTGTGAATGAATTTTTGAGGAGTTTTGTAATGTTGCAAGGTTAATTATTTATAAATATAAAGTAATTTTATTATATTTACAAGTATTGATTCGATGAGCGGAGCGGTGTCTCGTTTGCGTAAATCGCGAGTCTACGGACCGGTACAAAAGCATAATTGTAAGCGAGCGTTCGCAGGCTTGTAAATGTAGCGTAGGCCAGGCCGAGCGCAGCGCAGTGTAAATAACGCGACGGGAACGCTATTTATTGATGGTCGCGAGACGCTCGGCGCTCTCCTACCTAATGTTGTTGATGCGCCGCGGCGTGCGAGCGTGTGCGTGACGTCACCGGCCCCGCCCACTGCGGCGTGACGTCACGCACGGTGCTCGGACGCGGCGACGCGTTTGCCCAAACGTTGGGACCAAAATTTGTGTAGACGTCGGACATCGCATGTCGGCGTCCTGTTGTCGTGCTTTATGTACAATGTCAAATTTTATCACTATAAGTGACCGCTTCGGTACGTTACGATAGTTAGGGAAATTTGTTAAGGGAAGCGAGTGTAGCGCTCCGGTACTCGGAGACGGGTTGTCGTGGCCTCGGCCGGAGCGCGACAGTTCTGTTGACGTCTTGTCCATACTTAAATCGAGTTCCCATGTTACTGTGTATAATTATGTTTCTCTTACCGTATAGTTTCACTGTAGGATTTCAGTTTTAACAATTTCTAATATTGAAGAATTTGATGATTTATTTCCTTGTGAAAACTGTTGTGATTTATAACTCCTTTGTAAAAATAAATTATTGTGATATACACTTTTGTTTTACTTTCGATTATTTTGGTGACCTTTGAAGAGTGAGGAAGTTAGACACAAACCAGTTTTTTTATCTTAGCTTAGAACAAATAAAACACAATGTACTTAGTAAATCTTATTTTTTTTTGTTTTCCAATTATTTACATATAAGTTTAACTCACTCATTTTATAAAATGAAAACTATCTTTTATACATTCAGTCAAAATTTATCACTTCATTAAACAAAACCAATACATTCAGTTCTTAAAATAAAAACTTTAAGAGCAATTTGTAAAAAAAAATGTAAAACTAATTTTAGACCGATTTCTTTTAATTCTATAATAATGTGATTAAAAATCACAATATATTTAGTGACTTACACAATGAATACTTTAAGATGCAGTTCATATGTTTTAAAAGACCAGCAAATTATTTTATAACACAAAACACAAAGAACACAACTTAAAAATTATTCTAAAATATATATATTTAGTCATAACAAGCGAATTACATCTTTTTAGAAGCTCTAATACAATAATATATAAATTTCAACTGTTTAGGACAGGTTTTTGAGGCTTACATTTTTATGAAAATTAAATATTATATTTGATAAAGGATTCCTAACACATTTATATTTAAGATATAAGTAAATAAAAAAAAAACCTTGTGATGAAAGTCGTCAATTTTGTCACCTAACGGTATACCATATATTGAAAATAACAAAAAAAAAAACAAATTTCTCACTTAAAAATAACCTTGTAATTTCAAGAGATGTGTTAAAAGCACCACTAACTGTGGGTTTCCGAGAACAAAATCCATCTAAAATATAAATATGGCCTCAGAAAATCACAGCTACTCTAGAAATTCAGATTAAAAAATATAAATTTTCACAACTGAAGATACAGGAACTTTTGGATTCACTTAAATTAGAATGATATTTTTTATTATCGAACTATATTTTTAATATTAAAATGTAAATAGTGATACCTATACCCTTGACAATCTGAGAAATGATTTACACTTCTCTCACCAAAGCCGTCAGTTGATTGAAAAGGAAAGAAAATAACCAAAAGAAAACTGGACTAAGTGTAGTTCTGATGATGATAAAAAATAAAGATAGAACAAGAAAAGATCAAATAAACAAGGTACTTTATGTGACTATTAAAAAAGCATTTGATTTTTTCCTTCTAATCCTTTAGACATGATGCTTATTTTATCTAATTATATAAATATATACAAATTTAGTCATAATAATACATTTAGTATTCTAAGATCATTAAAAATTTCGATTCTCAACTAAATTACTTAAAACGCATATTGGCATCATTTATTCAGGCAGTGTATGTTGTGTCGCAATATGCAGACATTCTTTTCTAAATACAAAAGACAATCACATAGATATCAATTTGTTCACACATTTACAATTAATAAAATAGAATTCATAATAATTACAATATATAACAACCATTAAATTTCATCAAAATCAATTTAGGATAATTTTGAGACATCTTCTTTTAAAAAATGCTATGAACACAATCGTAGGAAATACTCACCCACAAAGATTATCTCACACATTGCCTGCTCACTCCTCTACATAGATCACAACACTTCACTTTTAAACAATTCAATTGCATGACTTGCAATTAGAATTACACACATTCAGATCACAACATTTCACATGTCTTAGTGATGCGCACCGGGGGGCGTGTCCGTGCGCGCGGGGGGCGCGGGGTGCACGGGAGGCGGGGCCTCGCAGATGCACAGTACGTGCCTCCGATGTCAGTGGCCGTTTAGCGCCGGCGTTGCACGCACGTTCCTCAGCTGCTCCGAGTACTCCGTGTACAGCCGCTGCCACCGCAGCTGCTTCACCAGCAGCGATAACATCTCCTCTAATAAGTCGTGCTTCTTAATACCCTGAAAATTGTTATATGACTTCATCATCAAAGTAACTAGAAATTATGACGTTTAATCTATCACATGTATAATATACTCACTAGAACATTGGACTGCCACTTCTTTGGCACGGACGTGCAGTGGCTAGGTCCAAGGAGATCATCCAGTATGCCGCGCAATTGCTCTTCGTTTCCTGTAATTATATAAAACAAATAATGTAAAGTTGACAGAGATATTATAATTTGTGTAAGAGAGCGAATTGAGTGAGTTACTGACCGTAGCTGAGCAGATGTGTAAAAAGAGATGAGAGCCAGTAACGGTAGTCGGGTGCGAGGCGCAGATGCAAGCAGGCGGCCAGCTGTGCCTCCAGCCAGCTGCGAGCCGCGCCCGTCGCGTAGCTGCTGCTGCAATATTATCACACACACATACAATACATTTTAATAATTATTTTTGTGTTCCCTTCGTGTGTCACCTTCATTTTTTAGACCTTAGCCCCGATAGAAGTAGATTTCGCTATGGATTCACAGTAAAATCAGTGTTTAAGCATAACAATTCGGTCAGTATATGTACCTGGCGGCGTGTGGTCCGAGCGAGTGCGCGGCGGGCGTGTGCGGCGCGTGGGGCGTGTACGCGGCGTGCGGGGGCGGGGCGCGGCGCGGACGTTGCGCACCCAGCACGGAGCGCGCGCCCCCGCCTGCACGCCGCACTGGGTCACCCGCCTCGCTCCACACCACCCTACCACACATCAGTAATTAATTCTCATTACTATAATAATTACTATATCAACGATTATTACAATAATTCAGCGGTAAACTTACCAAGCACATAATTTCTGGCTGTAAATATAACTCCTTCCGTTACTGAGTGAGATCATCGGGTTGCCGTCCTCCAGCAGGGAACAATTTGATACCGCCACTGAAAAAACATTCCGCGTTATAAGAAATAACATTTCTCCGGTCAATTTTTTTCCAAACAAACACAAATTTAAATATTCTTATCTACTTCTATATTAAATGATGAGTATAAAAGTGTAACCTCCATGGGACAAGAGACTTCTGAAGCACAGCGGCCGTATGATACAAGCGGCGTTGTCGAGGTCCCAGATGGCGAGTTCAGCAGACGTCGTCACCAGCAGCAGCGTATCGCCCGACAGCGTCATCTTGGCCGCCTGCGACATCAGAGCTGCAACACACAGTAATGAATACGGATAAAATTAACATCGTAGTCTGTCCAACAGTGGATTTTATAACCAGATAATTGCAGCATACGGCCATGTAACATACCGATGGGTGGCAGCGCGCGGCTGGCGTGCGGCCGGCCCAGCCGCCACACGTGCAGCGTGCCGTCCGCGCACGACACGCACGCCCAGCGCGCGTCGCACGCTATGCACGTCACCGGGGAACCTGCACACACATTACATCAACTTTAATCTTGCAAGAGTCTTTGTATTGCAACTGATGATGAATCGCTATATTACCCAAATACGTTTCCCAAACGGGATCGTTTGATGCGGAGTTGTTAGGTATGAGTTGCAGACGCGACAGAGTGCCGTATTGTGTGTTGCATGCCTTATTAACAACCTGTAACAATAAATTGCCATATATTTTTTAATTAAATAATTTTATGTTCATTACCTTGTCTTTGCGGGTACCAGGCGAGCATAAAACAATGAAAGTATATACCTGTAGTCGCAGCGCGCCCGCGGCTCTGACGACAGGTCCGGCCGCGCCGAGCACGGGTGCGGGCAGCGAGACACGCGCCGGGCCAGCGGCCCCGCCAGCAGCTCCGCCGCCCGCGCGCGCCGCAAGCTCATCCGCGCGCGGCCCCGGCAGCTGTCCGCCACCGCGCTTGCGCAGTCGCTGATCCAAACCACTGCCGACGGAACTACACAGTTAAAGTATTAACAATTAAATGAATACAACTTTATACATCTATTGCACGATATAATTTATCGAAATTAGTGAATGTACTGACTTGTCGTTGTTGTTGTTACTGGTGTTGTTGTGCGAGGTGGCGTGGTTGCTGACATTGGGATGTATGACGATGTCGTCGCGCCGCTCGACGCGGATGCGCGACTTGCTCTGCGAGGAAGTACTGAAACAGTGCTCACCGCCGCCCGGCTGAGAGCCCAGCGACTCACTGGAATAATATAAACTCATCAATCGACTATAGCAAGAATTACCTATCCTTTGTTTGATACGAAGAGATTTGTTTAAACAACATGTTTAAATACAAGTATTTTGACAATGCAATTTCACGGTTAGACTTATTATATGATTGAGAAGGTACCAGGAATGTATGAGTGATCCAAAGTTAGCCGCAAAGAGGTGACTAGCATGACCCCGCCCACTATAAGAAACAAGTCGTAAAGTACCAGGAGTACATAAGCTTGTGGGAGGTGTGAGTACTAACTTGGCGTCAGCATTGGTGAGCGGTATGAAGACGGGCGTGATGCGGCGCTTGCCGTCGGATGTGCGCGTCTCTATCTGTCTGTCCATGGGGCGCAGCGGCGTGCTGGCCAGCGCGCCCATGCTGCCGCCCGTGCTGCCGGCCGGCGATGTCACCGCGGGCACGCTCTGCACACAAATATACACATCACCATAGACCACCGACAAAAAACAATAATAACGAAGACAGTTCACCGTTGATTCGATAGATGGCGTTATTACTTAACTACATTTTGTTTTCTCTTTCCTTCACGCTAACGTATAGAACCTTGTTTTACAGATTTAAAGTCTTACCTGTGACTTCTCACTTTTGGGCGTGACTTCCTCCTTGACGGCCTCCTTCTTGGCCTCCTGCTTCTCGCGCGCCAGCAGGATCTCTGGGCACTCCACCAGCAAGTTTGATGTCAAGTCACCTCCAGATTCGTTCACTAAACATTTGCCGTATATCTTTTCGTAGAATGCGTTCTGAAATTACATTATTGATCTTGTTTTATTGGTTGGGATTTTTTATGAGATAGGAAATGTTTTTCTTATAAATTCCTATAATGACCTTTTCATCAAGTGTTAGAGGTGTTCCGATTTCTTTATTGGTAAACTGTATACAGGCGACTGTACCGTCGGAACTGCACGCCAGGAGATTGAGACCTAAAATATAAGTCACATAAATTTAAATCTCTGAAAATTAAACATAGCGGTCAATATACTATATCATGAATATGTATGGATAGGTGGGTGGAGGGTTACCGTCAGAGCTCCAGGAGAGGTCGAGCACGCTGTCAGTGAAGAGGTCATGCACAACAACGAGAGGTCGCTTGAGGGAGGTGAGCCAGATGGAGAGGGCGCGGTCGCGGGAGCCCACCGCCGCGCAGCAGCACTTCTTGCCCTCCTTCACGAATATGTTGTTGTTGAAGCGCTGACAAACACAACCCACAACTCAATTATTGAACGAATAATGAATAAAACTTGTCGAAATCTTACTATTGAAAAGGTGAATGTTTGGATGGATGGATGTTGATATTAGAAGATATCTCCAGAACGGCTGGCTGTATGGATCTCGTACAGAATATCGTCTGTCCAATAGACTACTAAATAAGTTTTTTATTAATTCCATGAGGACGTAGTCGTGTGCCACAGCTAGTACGTAACCTATGTATAATAATATAATACTGACAGCGCAGGTGACAGCCTTGCGGTGACCGACGAAGTCCTTGTCGCAGCGCCAGCCGTCCCGCTCCACGACCTGTGCAGTTGGTCCGCCGCCGTTCATCGCGTGCGCAGACAACACATACTGACCGTCCGGTGACCAGGACAGACGCAGCACGTGCGTTGTTCCTGCAATACCACACAATGTTCTCACACACCATTTCATTATAATCATAATTAAAACAAAACTCAAGAAGGTACACCTGGAGAAAAATACAGCAAGAGATCTTTTCGTATTTATAAAAAATATGAAACTAACTTACCAAGTGATGCAAGAAAAGAATTACATATTCTAGGGAATACAATAATCAAACCTCGATTCCAAGGTTCAGATCCATTTCAAAAGCTTCACTTATATTTTTTAAATAATTTCTAATATGGAGTAATATTAAAAATAGTGATTCAATGTTTAAAGGTGACCAAAAATATTACCTCCACATTCCTCAAATGGTTCAGTTATAACAGTTTCCTGTGCCCAATCCGCAGTCTTCCAAACTCTTAATGACTTGTCATCAGATTGGGATGCCAAATATTTGCCGACCTACAATCAATTTAAATGAACATTTGAGTTATAAACAAGTAATATGAAGCCAATCTATCCAATTGTTCCCAAGTGTAAAGTCATTTCCTACTTAGTTTATAAAAAAAGTACTCACCGGGTCCCATGCAACACCTTTCACTAGCCCCTTATGTCCGTTCAGTACACAAACCATTTCCGGGAACTTCTCTGCATTCCATATTATTATAGTGTTGTCAACACTGCAACTTGCCAACCATTTATCTAGCGGTGACCATGCAAGGTCTAAAACATCCCCTAAAACATAATAAAACATGTTTAATTTTTTTTTAATAAGTTACAGTGACAGGATATATATCTATTTATGACATAAATAGCTATTTTCTTGCATGATTGCAGGCTGTAATTTGACATAGTTGATAATATTTAATTTTAACACTTAAACATTCACCTAAATGTTTTCTTATGCATATGTTTATAGAATTTTAAAACAGATTAGAGATTTAAACTCTTATGACTATTATCATCTATTTTGACCACAACATACCAGCATGTCCCCTTAATGTAGCTAAACATCTCCATGTCTCAGCCTTGTTTTTACCAGGAGCAGATGGGGCAACACTCAGTCCCCACACCATAATGAGACGGTCATCGCCCCCCGATGCCAGGTATCGGCCACCATTGCTCCACCGCACACAGTTTACACAAGCTGTAAGATTTTTATTGAAAAATTATTGATGAATTGTTGAAAATTTGTAGTTTTTCATAACCGAAAAATGTACTTTATGTTGCCTCTTAGTTTTACAATTATTAGCACTGAAAAAATAAACTCAATACATACATGCACACAGTTTAAGTAACATGCTTAAAGAATCATGCTTTAAGCAGTTTCTTTTAAGTAGTAGAAAACATATGCATTATATGACAAGAAATACATCCTATATCCATTTGCACATAATCATACTTAAACTAGAATTGTACTTTTCAATATATGATTAAACCACTAACCTAAATGATTATCCATTTGACAGAGCATTTTGGGTACATTTGGGTCCACTTCAACTGCCTCAAATAAAACAGAGTTCAAGTTCCAAACAACAACTCTCCCGGAGTCCCCTCCTTGTCCACCAGTTGCAAAACGCTTTCCCGTAGGATGAATATCCACAGAAAATATTGGTTTATCTATAAAAACAAAGTTTTGTTGGAAAATTATACGATGAAAGAGATTCGAAATTTTCATGCAAGAACATTGAACTTACCATCGTGATTAACCCAACTGGGTTTTAGAAGCTTCATTTATGTTGCTGGTAAGCTAATTGTGTTAAAAATATGCTGAAAATTAGATTATATTGCTTTTATTTATTTTAATACAAATGACAATGACAGAAATATACCGCCCGAATTTAAGTAGTTGGTTTCAGAACAAACTTGGGTTTTTGGAATTTATTTATGAATGAAGCATATACATTTTTTTAATTTGTCATGTTTTAATAACATTCTATCTTTAAACATTTATATAACTATAAAGAAGTAAATAATTTTAATACATTAAGAAAGGTACATTGTTTTTAGAAAATAGATTGGTCAAAAGATAAGGTTTTCGAACTTTCCTAGCGTTGAAACTTTGTTACCCGATGAAAGTAATTTTTAATAGGCAAGAACTTTTGAAAGATCTTAATATATATCTGATGATGTACAGTATCATTATGTTTTTCATTTTTTGATGAGAAGAATTTAAAATACTTCAGTACCTGTTTTGTACATTCTCAAAACAGTTTTTTTTTTGTATTTGAAGAAAGAGAAGTTTAGTTAAAGTAGCAACATTTTACGTTGTTATGGGGACAACTGGTGACAACCCGTGGTGACAGAAGCAATCTGTGACCGCTTGGGGAATTTAAAATCTGCAAAACAAAGAATATTATTTTTGTAGGATTTAATCTAAGTAAGTCAGCAAATTAAATAATACAATGATGTATTTATTTCACCGTTGCAATTTCGTATTTGGTTTTCATAAGTTTAATGGCTTTATAATGACTAAATATTATTTAATTATTTGCATAGGCATGAGAGGGGCCGAAACTATAATACCAGCGCGTTTTCTGACCCTGCTTGGCCATTTCTGCGTCCTGATAACCCTGCTATGGGAGAGCAAACTGAGCGTACAACACTGTATGCTGACACCACTCCACGAAACTCACTTCCAGACATATCACAGGCGGTGAGTAAAATGTCGCACTTTAAATTTTTTTTCTCTTATTTCCTCTTTTTTCGACTTAATTTTGTTAGCAAACTTTATTATCTATTTAATATCTTAAGCAAAATACTATTCTCAATAAGCTTCTTTCACAGTGCACCTATTTACAAAACAAAGATTTATTTATAAATCTAAATTTACTAATCTATACATAATTTAATTAATAGGATTAGAATTTATCATATTTGCCTACCTACCTAATAGCATTAAAATTATAAATTAAAAAAAATTAAGTCAAATATCAACAAATTGGATCTCTTTTTGGTATAAAGAATTTATTTATTTTAACATAATGTAGTTTTTTGTTCCAGTTGTCTCGCCATAAAATATATACATTATCTTACATAAATTTCTGTATATAAAACATCTTAAACCAATCATCTTGTAAAAAATGATCTTGTAACATCTACTGAACGATTACAAAAATTCTTTTACCATTCAATAGTTATATTATTGTCGAGTAACAAAGACTATACTATACTTTTTTTCCTTGCCGACAAAGTCGCGGACAAAAGCTTGTTGTCATACTTTAGGAAAAACGTTATTCTACATGTTTAAGGCATGTAACGCGATACTCGATTCGATGCAGCAATAGCGGTGTCACGTGTACGTCGCTTGAATTTAGACTTCACGTGACGAAGCGTCACATTCAGTCGTTACGCACCCGTATGGCCTGATTCGCATTTCTCTTCCAAAATCAATAAGATCCAAAATACATTTACTGGGTTAATATTGTTAGCTTAAAATTGACAGATGCATTAAGAAAATGATGTCGCGTACGTGATTTTGCTGTCTCTAATTATCTAATCTAAAATTAAAATGTTTTTGTTAATTGTAAATTTGTATAATCTATATAAATAGTTTTATTAAAATATTTAGGAATTACATGTCAAAGGGAAAAAAATCGACATATTAATTAATTAAATGAAAGGTAACGGAAGCCAGGTGGGAAGTGAGGTCACGTGATGGTATAGAAACAATAAAGCAGTAGGAGCCGGATAAAACCGGATCGTGTCTATGTAGCCACGGACAGCTGTTTGGGTTAAACGGTTCATTGTGAGTAACGTGTGAGCTCTCGTTCGATACGCAGACGTGTGTCGGATATCGGAATGCCTAGGGTTGCTTACGAGATATTTTTTTTTTATTTCAATACGATGATTCTATCTTCAATAATTTGAAAGACAGGACCAGCACATTGCTGGTCTTCTTTTATTATAAATACTATTTTCAGTCTTGTGTTATTAAGGACCATTTTAGAGCAAAAAGATTTGAGTAAACCAATAATGCAATCGTAGCTCCATGACATTTAGTTTCCATACTGCAAGATATATAGCCAAGTGTTTGTTATTACGTCGTGTGCATGTCCGTTGGTGTGCACTCGTTATCTTGGATTAGAGGCTTTGATACATTACCATCAGTACTGTGCCATCAATTGAGATCACATATAAGATATTCGAATTGCACGTGCAAAGTTAACTTCATTGGGTGTAACTATTGTCGCAGTAACTTACGTCAATTTATTGAGGTATTAAACTGTTTTATGGTTTTAAACTGTAGATGTATGATAACTGATAATATTGCCGTTCTAGAGTTAACGCCGATTAGTCAACTCTTCCCCAGCACCGATTCGCGATGGCCCATAACTGTAATGAAAAGTATAAGTGCTCGAATTTAGGTATAATCTTGCACAATATAGGCGCCTATGTGCGTTCTCTTTTACACTACGTCAATATTCAATTGGGAATGTTTGTTTTTTGGTTATATGCCCACAAAACATACATTATTTCAATTGTGAAAGAAATCGTGGCATCCCTAAGCAATGTTAATATCCAATAATCCAGTAGCGTCCGGTTAAAATTGCCGTCGGGCGACGTTTGTTTTGCAAACACGAGGTATTGAGTTGGGATGTAGAAGTGATCAGTCTAATGTTGGCACATTCCTCGGTGCTCGGCCGATGGTCTCGTGGTCACGTGCAATTATCGTTATAATTGTTTGTCGATATTAAAAGTTCTTTTTTTTCTTCTAAATTCGAACCAGTGTTCGGTTTTCGTGTGTGGCTCAAGCCTATTTATGGGGTCTTCGGCCTCTAGCGAAGTATGGAATTTTTTTTTATAATTATTCGTATTTGAAAGTTTTTTGTGTTATGTTTTTATTTTTGTATAGAATGGTGTATAGACGTCGTAGCACGAATCTGAGTTCAAGGTAAGTTGGGTCGCAAGTGACTTATTAGAAGAGTTTACGTGAATTGTGAAGTCGTTGCAAATTGTACTTATTTTTTATAGGTTTTTTGGTTAGTTGCAATAGTATTTTTACAATAAATCGATGGAAGGGAAGTAGAGCCGTCAGTAGAGTATACAAATCAGAAATTAACATGGAGATATTTCACGATACCTCTCTCTAACTTTTGTTTCACAATATATCTACTTTGCATTACTTACACGTATTATTATTTTATCCATGTCATCAAACTGATTATGACTAAATGAATTGAATTTAAAAAACCTTAATAAGTAGCCTATGTGATCTTCCACACTATATTCTAATGCCAAATTTCATCAAGATGTGTTCAGCTGCTCTGGAGATACTTTCAAACAAACATCAATCCATTTAAAATTTCGCATTTATAATATTAGTATGATAGCTAAAATATATAAGTTTCTATTCGAATTTCTGTAGTAACGAAAAAACCCGCAGTGCGATTTTCTCTGCAGATATTTGTATGTTCAGCCGGTCAAAGTATGTGTAAACAAGGTTGTATTATTATAAACACCGAGCCTACATATGTGAGATAAGGACAGGAAGATGAACATGATTCGATCATGGGAATCCTATCGCTCTCGAGGTTGGTCGTATAGGGGATTTTAGTAGTTCAAATCCCACATAACAAAAGGTACAAAGGTACCTTTGGAATATTTCTTTATTAATATTTTTTTTAATCCTATTGGCTTTACAAAATGAGTGGATTATTTAGATCGTCGGTATTTGTCTGTAGGTAAACCACATGAAAAGTTTCGTCGACTTATTTTTAAATAACATATATGGTATTTAATAAAGGTTTACTTTCATTCACATTGTATTTTAATAATTGTTTTAACGTACACAATTAAACAGATGTTCTATTGTTGTTTACTATGAACATTATCTATACAAAATTGTTTCATTTTTAGGGTTCCATACCTCATAGGAAAAAAACGGAACCCCTATAGGATCACTTTGTTGTCCATCCGTCTGTTTGTCAAGACCCTTTTTCTCGAAAACGCGTGAAGGTATCAAGCTGGATGGACATTTATTTTGTAGGGATAAATTAACTTCATCTATAGGTTCTGTATTTATCTATTTATCAGGCTATCAGTGTATACGAGGGTGAATCAAAAAATTCTTGGAATCAATATTAAAAAATGCAAAGATTTAAATAATAATATTTTATTTTTCTACATAATCTCCCTCCAATGCAATGCATTTAGAATAACGCGATTCTAACTTCCTTATTCATTGTGAAAAAAAAATTATTTTCTTGACAAAAACAAGTGACAGTCTGCATAAATATAGTGTGATAGACACTCTTTAATTTGAATATCGAACTTGATCCAAAAAAGGTTTCATATATATGCACTTCTAAGAACTTTTTGATTCACCCTCGTATATTTGTTTGTATATTTAGTTTTGACATGATTAAATTACATACATAGATGAATTGTTTAATTATCTATTATGTTGTGATGTGAATGAACATATGTTATCTTACTATCTTACTAATATTATAAATGTAAATGTTAAGATAGATAGATGGATGGATGGATGGATGGATGGATGTTTGTTAAAAGGTATCACCGGAACGCCTTAACGGCTCTTGATGAAATTTGGCACGGATATAGAACATAAAAAGAACACATAAGCTACTTATTAAGTCTTTTTTAATTGACGATAAGAGTCGCGTGCGACAGCGAGTTTTACATAAAACATTTTTGTGTTGATATTTATATTTACTTTTCTTTGTAGTTATATTCCAATTATATCGAAGCGATATGTCGTTGTAGTTTTGTCTGTCGTCCTATATTCGAATCCTATGCATTATACTTACGTAGTAATTATAATACATACAAAGATCGCGACAAAGCTTTAGA